CAACGAAGGCTAAAAATTGAATAGTCGTTGAAAAAGCACTACTCCGAATTGTGACCCGATATATTTGTCAGGAGTGAGTTCGGGATCAAATTTACATTCGATGAAGCGGCACCAAATGAGTAGTTTCGGCAGGGGGCATGGGTAACAATGTATCTAACGTAGCGAAGAAGCCAGAGATTTCTGCCCGTTTTGAGAAGCTTTTCGCCTCGATGGCCGTCCTTGGGTGAAGTTTGCGTTTTCAAACTGCGTCGCCAACTTTCGCTGGTTTCTCGACCGACCACAAGAGTGGTCTTTTCGTATTTCTGGCGCCCTTGAAAAGTACATGTACGATCCAGTGTGCCTTCTGCCACGCATCCAATTAAGTGCCATTACGGCAACCCTTTTGCGTGCTACTGGCAGGCCCCTCCAATAGAAGCACGAATAGGCACCGTTCTTCTCGCGTCTATCTTCGTTGCTCCACTGAGCGTTCTTGCCGATTGCAATATTCAAGGTCACGTGCTGTGATGACGTATTCGCCACTGATTGGTCACTGCTTTGACGACCGCTTGGAACCGGTTGCTAGAGCGAGAGCGCGTATGGAGGCCATGTGGCCGGCCCAGGCGTCTCTGCCGTAATGCTTTCCTCCACCAGGGCACCCGGCCGGTCGGTCGGTCGGTCGGTCGGTCGGCTTTTCGGCTGCTACCCGGTCCCGGGCAGCTGCCACATACTTCAAACTCGGTTGACCGGTTAGTTTAGTTTGTTTACCGTTCTCACGATGTGCGGTAAGAGAGCAAAAAACGACCAAGTCTGGCTGATCAAAGTATACGAAGTGGCGTCGGTATCCAATGCTAGCAGCGGTCGTGCGTTTACAAACAACGAGGACAAGTGAGGAGATGCCGTTGGGCAGGTGTTGAGGATGAGGTGTTCCTCTTTCCTCGTTACAACACAGCGATCGCGCTTAGCGGCGAGCTCGGCAGTCGTACTAAAGGGTGTCGTGTGTTTTCAGACCTGGCGAGCAACGCGTCGCTGCTGTTTTCATGACCGTCGTCGAATGGACCTGGACCGCTTATGCGACGGTCGCCCTCGTGTCAACGTTGACGGCGACCAGCGGAGCCCTCGGCTACATGATGAGCGAACTGCTGAAGCCGAGACGACTCATCGATGCCGGTAAGCACGTTTTGTTCGTGTCAGCTGTCTGTCCTCCTCCTGCCGACGTCGATCGGTCGGTCGGTCGGTCGGTCGATCGGCTGTTTGCCTTCGTGCTTTATTTTTTCTTCCTCAAGTGCTTTTTACGAGGATGCGTTTTCCACCAACACGACGACAATTTTCTACCTTTCTCCACCGTCGTTCGCTTCCTTTTTCCGCTGACCGTCGTCCGTCACTCGGACGTCTTTTCTCCAGGCACCGTCCGATCTCTCGTACTGCCTCCTGATTTTCAGAAAGGTCGTCGACGCTGTGGATCCACTCACATAAAACGGAATTACCGTGAAGTTTCACGTTTCACGTGCTGTGAAATCGAGTGTGTTATTATTTCGACCGACTGGGATCTCCGTCCAGGCGTTTTGCAAACTTCTTACCAACTAGCTTGTAGCTTACTAAGCTTCGTTACTTTGACCTCGCCATCAGAAATGTAACTCAAAAGGCACAGTGCTTCGACGCAAAGCCGTAGAACACCCTGCAATCCATGTCTCCGTGCTTCTTTCACAATTTTACTGTGCCTAAACTTCGAGCAGTACACTGCTTTTTTGATTTTTTTCTCTCTCCCTCTACCATTGTTTCCGACCGCCAAACGTACACTTCTGTTTTTCCTCAACGAGGATTTTT